GCTTTCAATATTGATTTCAGCCAATCAAATTCGTGAATTCGGTAGTTCCCAGTCCTTGTGAGACACGGCCATATAATAATCTGGAATAATGAAGTAACCAACTATCAAGAGTGAATCAAGGACGAAAACGAACCTCTCCCAATTTGTCCAACTTGATATAAGTTTCCATTTTTCCATAACCAAGTTCAGACTAGGAAAAAAAATAACACTTTTTTCCGCAACACAAAAATTATACCAATAAGTATAATAATAATTATAAAAACAACAGTTTAGTGATAATAATTGTATTAAACTTTTAAGATATGTACATAAGTTGCAGAAAAATTTGAAGCGAGAATTAAGCACTATAGAACATTAAAAATCGTAGAGATCATAAAATACAATCACTGTGTCGAAAACCATTTCCCAAAACACATTCTTTGTGGATCAGATGGCATCATTAACTCTTACATGGAGTCCAGTGTTTTGAATTAATACATCACAAAAGTTACAAAAAATATTACACTAATAGCATAATAATAATAATATTGATAATAGTTATAAAAAATTCAATGTCAACCAATCCTTTCATTCATAAACTTACCAATGACATTCTCCTGCTCCTTCGACTAAGATGCTGTTCACTTCCGTAAGGAGGACTCTTGTGGGAGCCAAACTCTGTTGAGCTCCTTGTCCGATGGGCTGGGCTTTTTCTCATTGAAATGTCATTCACTGACATCCCATAATGAAGAACTGGCAAGGAGAGTCGTTTGCTGGAGCCACCTGGGGCTGAAACAGTCTGGGATGAAGAAAATTCACAAAATTTTGTTTCACTTCAAAATAAATTTTACAAAAAATTAATTTCACTCTTAAGTTAATTTAGCTTGGCTCTGGTCTTGGAACCTTTGCTCTGAAGCGCTGTTCTCCCTACATTCAGTGAAGATTTATTTCTAAAACACTTTCACTTCCCAGATTTCATTCGTAATTCTCTTAACTATTGTTCTTCTTCAGCACCCCTAATCTGTAGTCAACCTGGATTGAGTGGTCACCCCAACACTCCCCGTGGGTGAGTGCTTAATACAGGTTCAACTGTTTTCGCCTATAACTTATTTAACCAATTTAGATTCAGTTTAAAACTGTAGCAGCATCTTATAAATTATTTCATAGCCAACAACATACTGTCTTTTCTACTCAACAGTGCCGTAGCAATCAGCCAAATCCACATACACTTAACACTGCATGTACGATTACTACAGTCAGACTGAGTTCAGTTTATCGCATTTTCCCATTTGTTTAACCCTAGAGAATCTGACTCATGAAACTCAAGAAGTTAATAATTATTACTAAAGATGGATGATTGTGTTGTAACTGTTTAAAAGGTTATTCACAAGGCCATCATGTAGGCATTTGCAAGGTACAGTGTAACTACAGTACCAACAGTGGTAACCTCCAATAAAACATTCATTGAAAAGGAAATTAAATTTCAGAATTTTCTTCCGTTTAGAAAAAAATATGCATCATTTTCTAACCTTACCTCACACCTAGCTTATTTCCACATGTATGCTTACAACACTAATATTAAAATTAAAACTTTTTCTTTTAAGTCACAGCTATTTATTATCATTGAATCAATTCAACCACCAGTAAACTTTTTAATCCACCTGCTGACACCTGTAACAAGCTTGGAGCATTTTAAAAGTGTGATGATAGTTAATTGCAGTATGCTAGCTGTACTGGAAAGTGGAATTGTATTTTAGTATATACAAACTCAGTGATCTTGGTGTTTCAAGCAATCTGATTGGTTCGCTATCTTGCGCTAATCAAAAATGTACACATTCGAGCAAGTGAATAATGTGAAAAACAAAATAGCGGGCGTAAAATCGTGTTTTGCTAAAGTTTCCGAAGCAGAAATTGCCTTTAAATGGCTTCCTTTTAATTTTGTCGAGATCACTTCATGTGTATATACTACAACAATTGTTCTTTTCAATCTCGGTGAATAGTGGCTTTCGGGAATATTTACCTCGCCGCTTTGCGGCTTGGTAAATATTTAGCCACTATTCACCTCGATTTCAAAGAATAATTGTTAAGTATGGCAAAATTCCAAACATTGTAATTTCATTGTAGAAATGATCATATTCAGCGATGATAATGAGTGCACTAACGTGTAGGGTAACCTTTTCACTCCAAGATCTCACTAGGAAATCTCTACTGTCTGCCATATAATTCTTATCGTGCTAGTTTGGAGAATTTGGTATTAGATCAACTAATGATCCTATAATTTTTCTTTACTCTCATCATTTTTCTGCTTGATGCTATACTGATATTTTAAGGAGAAATTTTCTTTTGGTCACTCATTAATGGTATCAAAGCTTAAGTCACCATTCAGCCAACTATGTATTTGGAAGAGGTGCAGAAAGCTGAAAGGCTTTTACTACTCCTTGTCAATGGTTTAAAATACAGTGACAATTATTTTCAAAAATATTACATGTACATAATTTTGCATACAATTTCCTTTTCAGTTTTTCTAAAACTTATCGCTGGCAACTGTCTTGTGACTTTAGGTTGCTGCATGGTAAATTTGAAAGAAAAAATTTTAGCTTGGAGCCCTGATAATCTAGGCAAGGTTACAGAGAGGTGCCAAGTTATATTCTGTAATGCCATTGACAATATGGCCAACTTTTAAATGGTGAGTGGTCAACCCTTTCCAGAAAATTGTGAAGAATTTTATTTCTTGATTACATGAAGACCTTGAACTGAAAAACATAATCATATTTTCCTAAGCATAACTAGTGAGAAATAAGTATATAGGCCTAAACTCCTGTTTTCAAAGCCATTGTTCAAAACCACAGTGCAAGACTGAAATCATTCATTCCTGTATAAAAATTGTCAGCTAAAATGTTTTGAAGCACTCAGACAAAATATGACTCAACACTGATTTCAAAGACCCTGTCTTTGTATAAAGTTAAGTTTTACCCTGCTCTTTTCTTCAACTAGGAAAACAATCTGAATAACTCACCTGAAAACTAGTGACATAATATGTGAACATTGCATAATTTGCTGTTTTAAATCACTTCTTACTTGAGCCGGTTGAGTGATTAGGGAAAACAAATGAGCAGGTTTTCAAATTTGCTTGTACCATCAGCAACAGCATGCATCAGAAAATTATGATGCAAACTTGCTAAATTTGACAGTACTGATTTGCTATATTTTTGTACTAATGAGAGTAACAAAAAATATCAGTTTAGGGTATTCTTAGTTGATGTAGAACCAAATTCTCCAAACCAACATCATAAGAATTATAAGGCAGAGGGTAAGGAGAATTTACTAATGAGATCTTGGGAGTGAGTACACAGTCAAAAGTCATGTGAAAAGCACACGCCAAAGTCATCTTTCAGGCAGGAAGTCTACAAGAGCTTCTCAAAATACCCTTGGTTGTAGATGCACAATTAACACTGGTTTCAAAGTGATGTTTCAGAATTCTTGCTTTTGACCACTTTAAAAAAAGTACTTTACCAATGAAACCTTGCCACCACTATTCTACTGGTTCACATATGCATGCAAGCCAGGTGGTCCAAAATGTATAAAACTGTTAGCTTCTCAACTATCTCTTATCAAATACCGTAATCAATGGTTTACAGGACTCATTTCCTCACCCTCTTTAAAAAAAAAATTTTAAATGCATACTTACTGATTTTGAGCGTGGTTTCCTCATGGGTACCTGAAGGAATTCATCAGCAGCCTCAAATCCTCTTTCACCTCTAATGTCATCTTTTACTGGTCCATTGTGATGATCAAATCCTAGTAACATGTTGAAATTGAACACACATGGAACAATATTTAATAATGAATGTTGGAAAATATTTAAATAAACCTTCTCCACAGGCTATGTGAAGCTATCTGTCATCTGTAATCTGTAATGGTAATGTTATGATATGTTGTGGGAGTGACTGCCATGTGACAGATAAGAACACCTCGCATTCATGGAATTCAAAATGCTAAAAGTACAGCATTACAGGTTTCAGTGACTGTCTGAGAAATACAAACTAAGATACCGTAATTTGTGAGGTTCATGAATACATTTAGTGTTTTTTTTTTTTTTTTTTTAATGCATTAGTCACTGAATATTTTGAATGCTGTGGGTGTAAAAGGGGTAGTAGAGTGATCCAAACACTGCTCCAGGGATGTAGATAAGAAATTACCCTGCGGGCTGACATTTCAAGTAAGGTGACTCAAAAGTGGTAAACAATTAAGCGTGTAACCTCAGAAGCGCCCTGTCTGGTTTACCAAGTTAGTGATCCCTGAACAAAACCCAGCAGGTGATCACCACTTTTTCATCTGGCAAATTTCGTCAGAGGCCGGAGCTTAATGACAACCCTGCTGCTCGCATGCTAAACAGAAAGAACCCTCTGAGGGACTCTGTATAATCAGAGAGATATGCAAATAGAAAGAGACAGCAACGTAAAACAAACTTTCACCCCAAGTTTTTAGTTTGCACGAACATTACAGAAAAGAATGAAAATGAGTACTGTTAATTAAATTGAAAAAAAAAAATCTTCCTAAGACTCAAAGAATATTTATTTAGCAAATAATCTCCTAAACTTTGTCACTAAGATTATCACGCGATATTTCCTTTCCATAAGATAAATAATCCTTAAAAATTGACAGATGTCAATAAAAATACCTCAAAAAAAAAAGTTTAACACTTCTCACAGCTGGGTTAAGCATAATTATTATCTGTGTCCTGATTAAAAAAAAAGAAAAAAGGAGCAAAGTAGCAAAGTCGCCCTAACAAATACAGAAAACATAAAATAGTGTCTTTCTTTTCAGTGATAACCAGTAAAATTTACCACCTGTACATTCAGTGCCTAGAGTTGCTTGGAATTCTTGAAAATTTAACAGGTACAATGTAGTAAAAGGATTGCAATAACAGTTTCAAAATTCTCCCTAAATGTTGTGTCTAAAATAAATGAAAACACTGCGGAAAACATTTAGACATTTTGTCTCCTTATATTTGCATATCTCTGAGAACTTTATCAACATGGTAAGGTGGTCTAGAAATTAACATCCTGCTGTTTACTGTTCTTCCATACCAGATGAACTCCAAATTTTATTTGTGAACATGTTTGTTCATCACTTTTAATTCTGTACTGTAATCTACCATTTTATGTGACTCTTCAAGGAGTAGCAAGAATTATCACCTTGCTTTAACTTTCATTGACAAAATTATGTTTTTGTTAAAAAAAAATACATGTAATTGAATCTAATCTATGTTGTGAGGTGCACATATGCATCTAAAATGCTTCATATTTTTCAGCAGGCTTGCAATACATTGTATATCAAATCTAAAAGAACCATTCTGCAAACAATTTGTCCTTTAGTTCATAGAATAAACAAACAAACTGAATTTGATCTATTGTACAGGATGCTCTTCCCTCCATTTGGAAGGAAAAATAAAAATACAAACATCTCATTATAAATCAATTTAAATGCAGTATATGCAAAGTTAGCAAGTGCACTTTACTTTGTGTGTGATTAAGTCAAATTGACCCATTACCAAACACTCAAGTTTCAGAAAATTCAAGTACTTGAGAGCAATATGATCTGTTGCAATATCACTGACAGTCATACCATGTAGCACTTACAGAAAAAAAAAATACCCTACAGAAAAAAAAAATACCCTACAGAAAAAAAAAATACCCTACAGAAAAAAAAAAATACCCTACAGAAAAAAAAACAAACAAACAAACAAAGATAAAAATCATTAAAAATTGAATCATTCTTAACACTTAAGGATGAGTGTTGGAACATTCGTAATATTCAATCTATGGAGAGCAATGACGTTTCTTCAATACAAATATCTTTTTATTTACATCTGAATACTAATGTCATTGAAATAGTTTTTTAAGGTTTTATGACCATGTAATAATTCTGTTTCTTTATTTTTGCTCAAAAAATCATTTCCTTAGTACTCTGCTCAAGGACTATAAACTTGAATATTTGAACCTCTATGTCAAAAAATTGCAAAAAAAAAATTCAACAAAATCCCTGACAATCAGGGCTGTATCTAATAAACGACACCAACCCCTGAAATTTAAACTGAAGTGGCTCAAAGATGGTAAACGATTGTAAGTGTGTAACCCAAGAAGTGCCCGATGTGCTTCACCAAGCGATCACTGGTCAAAAATCCAACTGGAAATCGCTTGGTGAATTTCGCCAGCAGTCTGCACTTACCAACAACCCTTGACATTGTGAAATTTCTTTTGAAAATTACTTTAGAATGTGGGCTCGAAACTCACTCTCCCTCTAAATTTTTTGAATCAACCACAACTAGATTAGGCACCTTTTTCAAGTGTAGCGCTTTTCAACATTTTTGCTTCAAAGTGCACAGCTTTGCTCATCGGGGGCTGCACTCTTTGAAGTAAAACCATAAATGAAACATATCGTAAAACAAAACTTTTTATGTGGCAAAAAATAAATTGAAGTACGTAATCTACATGTACTTAAATAAAAGAAAAATATCTAATTGGCCAGAGAAAAACATATTGTAATTATTTAATACCAGTATTCAATGGTTCTGTACAAAATGATGTTACTTCAAAAACAATTTACCAAAAAAAAAGACAAGGTCAGTAAAGAGGAGGATTTAGCACTGCAATAATAAAGGATAATTTTTTTGTAAATACAATAGCATATATTCATTTCTCTGTATCTGCTGACTATGATCTTCAAAATACATAATTAATCAAAAGGAATGTTTTGCAAAATCAACTATATCTTCAAATACGCCTCTATATGCTTACGAACTGCTATCTAATCTCTAAAAATTGCTGCCACAAAATCTTCTGTACAAACGAACTTTTCGAGAACCACAAGCATAAATTATTTATTTCTAACCATCAAGTTAATCAGAAGACTTTTATGTAAAGGAGATGCAAAACTGTTGAAAAGCTTTTTGCAATGAGAATCCCCCAACAATGCTATTGATTCAAATGTATATCGTTTCTGAAAAGAAAAGCATTGACAGATTGTAACAAAATTAACGTTGGCTAGGGGCAAAGCTTAATCTTCTTTGAACTAAGTCCTGTCCTAAGGCACGAATGACCAAGATCACATAGCGGCTACATTTTACACATTCACGAAGCATGAAGGAAGTTCACAATTATAAAACTCGTTTGACATGTAAATTCTGTCATGTGAAAACACCTTTAACCTTTGTAAACACGAAAGAATCTGTCTTCTTGTAAAACTGACAATACAGACAGTTTATTATTTTTACGGCTCAGTAAAAGGTGATCAGTATCCGGAAAATATTGACAAAGAATTATGCTAACACCAGAAAAATGGGAATATTTTAGCCGAAGTATGTTCGTTTGCAAGATGTTTGTGATAGAAGGCGAATGTTAAGTGCAATGAGCGAGAGAAAATCCGAGGACCCGAAATCCGCTTAGGGCATCATTCAAACGAGACTGAATACCATGTTAACTGGCTGAAAGGAAATAAAATCAGTGTTCTGTTTATTCA